TTAATCACTAAGGATTTTAGCGAGAAACAATTCTGACAGGCACATATCACTGAGAGTTCTAAAGATTTCACTCATTACTTGGAAAAATATTGTTATATATTCCAATTACTTAGAACTAGGCAACAAGGGAGTCTTTCCTGATCAAGAATGTCCCTAAGGGGCTGGGGTACAGCTAGCTAATAGATTGTGTGATTAGCATGTGAAAGAGCCAGGTTTCAATCCTCAGCACAAACATTTTTAAGAGAAATAAAAATAACTTTAAATCTTCCAAAGGAAAAAAACAAAACAACAAAACAAAAACCCAAGCTTTTCCTTGAAATAGAAAGGTATAACATCCAGTAAGTTGTTACCATACCTAAGCTCAATTATTTTCACATCTTTAAAGAAATTCCATCTATTAAGCTTGTTCATCCCCAGATCTCATTTAGTTACAAGTTACAGCTTCAGGAGCTGGACAGATGGCTCAGTGGTTAAGAGTACTGGCTGCTCTTGCAGAAGACCCGGGTTCGAATCCCAGCACCCGTATGGCAGCTAACAATCTTCTGTAACTTCAGTTCCAGGGGATCCAACTCCCTCTTCTGTTCTCCACAGGCACTGTACAACATGGGTGCACTTACACACATGCAGGCAGGCATAACACTCATACACATAAAAAAAAATTAAAAATCAGATAAAAACAACTTACAGCTTCGATGATACTGGCCCTAATTTCAATAAGGCAATTTATAATTTCCATGAAAAGAAATATGTTTTCTTCTTCATTCAAATAATTTGTATGCATTAGTTAATGAATTTTCTACTAGTGACTAACACTTACACACATGCAGGCAGGCATAACACTCATAAACATAAAAAAAAAATAAAAATCAGATAAAAACAACTTACAGCTTCGATGATACTGGCCCTAATTTCAATAAGGCAATTTATAATTTCCATGAAAAGAAATATGTTTTCTTCTTCATTCAAATAATTTGTATGCATTAGTTAATGAATTTTCTACTAGTGACTATATGATAATCTAAGGTAGCTGCATGTGTATACGTGTGTGTGTGTGTGTGTGTGTATGTGTGTGTGTGTGTGTTATGTTTTCTTCTTCATTCAAATAATTTGTATGCATTAGATAGTTAATGAATTTTCTACTAGTGATTATATGATAATCTAAGGTAGCTGCATGTGTATACGTGTGTGTGTGTGTATGCATGCACCATGGATCAAACCCAAGGTCTTACCCAGGCTAGGCAAGTGCTCTACCACTAAGCTATATCTTCAGCTCTAAGGTAATTCTGCCACCACTAGAATGTATCATACAGTTCTACCCTTCTTCACATCCTCTCTTGATTATCCACTAATTAATGAAACAATGTCCTAGTCTCTTCAAGACGTGGGTCTCTTTCCTCTAAACTATCCCATACACCAAATGACAGCTTAATCTCTCAGAAACAAAGCTAAAAAACAAAAGAAACCACTAATACCTTGGAATTAGGTACCAGCTGGAGCCTGTCATGCAGGGCCCTCTAACACACACCTCACCTGTCTCCAGCTTAAGTCCTGTTGAGCTCCAGCTAAGCCAGTTTTCCCAAGGGCTGTTCTACAGCTGTGCAAGTTCCCGTCTTTGTTCACACCCTTTCCTTTTCTTTTCAGTAGGTGCTTACCAAAATTTTATAAATCTGCTTATATCCCCTTCTAGGATACTCCCAACCCCCTTTTTGCAATTTTTTTGAGGCAAGGGCTTGCTATTTAGCTGAGACTACCCTAGAACTCATTGTGTAACCCAGGCTACCCGGGCACTAGCAATCTTCCTGACTCTACCTCTTTGGATGGGGGGATTACAGGCCTGTGCCATCATATGCAACTTAAATGCCACTCTCTAGTGAAAACTTTTTTTTTTTTTTGGTCTTTTTGAGACACCGTCTCCCTGTAGCCCCAGCTGTCCTGGAACTCACTATGTAGACCAGGCTGGCCTTGAACTCACAGAGATCCACCTGCCTCTGCCTCCCGAGTGCTGGGATTAAAGGCGTGAGCCACCATGCCTGGCATAGTGAAAACTTTTTTATCTGTACTGGGGATATAGCTCAATGGTAGAATGCTTGATTTCCAACACCACACACACACACACACACACACACACACACACTACTCTTATCCCTCAAGCTGATATGACCTCTCTCCTCCTTTTGAAATTCATATGTTCTGTATTTTTGTGCTGTTATATACCAGCTCTTCATTTGTTTATATGAAAAATAATCTAGCTTTCCTTCTGTACTGTAAACATGTTGGAATAGAGATTATCTTTCTTTTTTTTGGCAAGGGGTGTGTGTGTGAGATAGTCTCCCTGTAGCCACAGCTGGCCTGGAACTCGCTATGTAGACCAGGCTGACTTTGATCTCATAGAGATCTGCCTGCCTCTGCCTCCTGAGTGCTGGGATTCAAGATGTGCACCACCATGTCCATCTTAGAGATTATCTTTCTTCTTAGCTTTCCAATACCTGCAATAGTAGAGGGAGATATGCCCATGAACCTTGCTTTTTGATGTACAAATCCATTAATAAGCTTTCTAATTTGTTAAAATACAAATTTTGCCATAATTTCAGATGTCCTGTTTACATGTAAAACAGAACACAAAGAGAAAACAAGATGCCTCTGGTACCACTTATATGTTCATAGAACCCAGTTTTAAATCCTTCTGTGTATTTTTCACACGCTTTTTCCCCTGAGATTATTTCCTCATAAGATTATAAGGACCCAGAGGGCAAGTGAAGTATTTCTTTCTGTCTCGGAACAGATTTGAGCCTGCCTGATGTGGGGCGGAACAAGCTGCGTACCTGAGTCGAAGAAAAGCCCCCGTAGGCATTGCGCTGCTTGGACAGCCAAGCCACTATGCTGGTGGCCTTGGATACTTCCGCTTGAGTCAAGCTGGCCTTGATAAGTTGAGCCAACAATACATATGCTGTGAGTTCCACATCCAAAGCCTGAGGTTCAGACCAAGGGCTGGCATCAGATGAACGAGTGGGTTTCAGGCTCCAGTGAATGGATTCTCCTACAGAGAAAGAAGCATCACTGCAATGGTTTGGGAAGAAGTGACTTTTCCATTTTCACCCAAACATCACATCTTCGAGTAGAGAAATACCAGCCAGGAGACAGTTGTGGGTTAGAAAGCAATTATTTCTCAGAATTGGCTGATTTAATTAGCCCTAAGCTAATTAAATGTGCATTTGTATGTGTGATGTGATGTGTGTGTGTGTGTGTGTGTGCTTATTACATCAATTAAATACTCTTGCCTGCAGAAATACAT